TGGTTGGGGGGGGGGGGGAGAGAGAGAGCGGCATGAATATATGAATGCGCAGTAGCTGTTGGTGCTGAGGACGATGCACAGGGGCTCCACAGTTTCGACCTGCAGGGCCAACGAGTGATAGGGTATCGGCAACTTCGTCATGCAACATGAAGGCGGAATATTTTAGGTGTTTCGTTTTCTTGAAGCGGTGAACGCACAGACACAGGATCGGCTATGTGTGCGAAATGTATGCTTGTTGTCATTTAATTTGTATTGAACGGGGCGGGTAGGTCACCGAATGCAAACACTACTATTTTTGCTTCGGAACACTGTTGTTGCCTTCATTCGACGATTCGGTATCGCCCGCGTCTTCGGGCACGTGGTTGAACCGCTGTTTAGCCGGCAGAGAAGGTAGTCCCCGTCGAGCCCTTCGAAAAGACTAATATTCCCAGAAAGATTTTAACCCGATCCTGATTCTCTGACCTAGCGCAGTTGATGACCTTCGCGAAGCTCGAACGAAGATCGGACAACAACAAGATCGACGACGCTCTGGTGGGGATAAAAGAACATTAAGTCCAACGCAAGCCCATTGTCGACGAACTGCACGCTAGGTCAGAGAATCAGGATCGGATTGATAACGGCATATCAATACCTTTCTTGGAACAGTCTTCTTTTCGAAGAGCTCGAAGTGGACTACCTTGTCCGCCGGTTAAAACAGCATACCAACCAGTTCAACTACGTGTCTGAAGACGCGGGTGATACCGAGTCGTCTGATGGAGACATAGTAGTGCCCCTAGGGAATTATAGTGTTTGCCACTCGGGTGGCCTAACCAGCCCCAGTCCAATGGAAAGAATGTCGAATTTCCGTCTCGTACATGTATCGCCTGTGGCTTTTTTGCTTGCATCTTCCATTCGGAGCACTGCCACAGTACCACTGCAGACTTCAAGCATCAGACGATTGGGAACCGCGAGGCTGCAACAAAGATCGGACAACAAGATCGACGGCACTCTGGCGGAGGTAAAATAATGTGAGCTCCAACTCGACCCCGTGGTGGACGTATTGAACGCTAGGTCAGGGAAGGATCGGATCGACAATGAAGGGAATCCCGCAGGCTCTCTAGAGCCGTTTCTAAGGGCTCGAGGGGCACCATTTTGGATGTATGCCTGAAGACGCGGGCGATAAATTATCTGTCCATCGCGAGCTAATTACGTACCACGGCTGGGCGCGTGCGGGAATGAATGTACACGCTTTTTTTAAGAGACACGTCTACGTCTTTCGCGATTCTTCGTGTGCAAGCTCCCAAGCCTTGGAAACGTGGGACTTGATGAGTCTTTGCTCGAGAACGAAATATGGACTGCTCTCTCTCATACGAAGCACAATTTTTGTCGTCAGAGCCTCTCTCAGCAAATTGGTGTGCTGGTATTTTTTTTTTTCTTAACATGACACAACGAATCCATCTCTATCATAGAAAAGAGTCTGAGACAGATGAGCAATGAATTCATAGCGTTTGCTCGAAGAAATCCGACGATCTAATAGCCGAACTTCGTGCTCGAGCAAAGTTTATTTCTGGCACTCTGCATCCCAACCACAGACAGCGGGGACTTGACCGGAAACGTTCGGAGCAAGGGGTTAGGGGTTAGAGGGACCCGACACTATACGACTTTTGCAAAAAAAAGACAGTGCGCAGGTTGGAAAAGTGTCGGGCTTCTGACCGGGACGAGCACCGCAGCGGCAACAACGGCATCGCCGGGTTCAGCTACACGCATGGAAAAAACTCCCTCGTTTAGAGGCTGCAACTCACTCTCGTAATCGGTACGAGGCTCTCTTTGTTTTACAGAGCGCATTGTCGTGTGAGTGAACACGTACACATCAAACAAGGAGGGAAGGAACTGACGGTTGAACGGTTCTCATGTTCACAAGCTGAGGCAAGCACCGCAGGAGCAGAGGCGGGGGGGGGGGGGGGGCGTACTCTTATGCTTTGCATGCCTTAGCGGTTAGACCATTGACCACGCGTCCTCGAGGCGGGGAGGGCAAAAAACTTTCCTCCTGTTTT